ATCTTAATCCTGGTGGCGGGATGGAGCATTGCGGCTCAGATTTAGTTAATGCTTTTTAATCAATGTAGTGTAAAAATGAATGCAAACTAAACTCGAAGAAAAAAGAAAAGGAAAAAGAAAGCTCAGGAGGAGGATAAAAAAGAAAAAAAAAACAGAAGAGAAAAGAAAAGAAAAAGAAAAGTCAGAAGGAACAGAAAAAAGATAAAGAGAAAAGGAGAAGAGAAAAGGAGAGGAAAAGTTCAGAAGGGATAGAAACAAGAAAAGTAGAAGAAAAAGGAAAAAGAAAAGTCAGAAGGTCAGAAAAAAGAAAAAAGTAGAAAAGAAAAAGAAACGTTCAGAAGGGGCAGAAACAAGAAAAAGAGAAAAGTAGAAGAAAAAGGAAAAATAAAAGGTCAGAAGGTCAGAAAGAAAAGTAGAAGAGAAAAGAAAAAGAAAAGTTCAGAAGGGGCAGAAAAAAGAAAAAAGTAGAAAAAAAGCAGAAAAGAAAAAGGCACCCCAGACGATCAGAAAGCGGTGGCTTCCAACTTTTGTCCCACCGAGCATAAACTAATAAACCAACTTTTCAGATTTAGGAACCTGAAGTCAGATCCGTCCTGGCTGCCATAGTCCACCGGGCGGTCCTGCCTCTGGCCGAGTTTGGCTTCTCTTTCAAGCTCCAAAGTTTGTTGGTTTAAAAGGGGGGAGGACGAGGAGAAAACTCAGCCCCTCCATCTTTTCCAGGCAGGGAAACGCAGCCGTTTGTATGCAGAAGCCGAACGGCAAACCGGCTCCGGGCGTGGCTGAAGACGGCGTGGCTGTCCCGCTCGGGGAGGGAGACTGGGAGGCGGTTGGGCTCCGTCCAGACCGACTTGCCAGTTAAACCAACGCCGGGGCTGACCCGGTTCCCGGCCGTGGCGCGGCGGCCGTGCCAGTTCTCACGCAGCAGCCACGCCACGGAGGGCGTCTTGCTCAGACGTGGCGGCCTGTTTGAGTTGGAGGGAAAGTGGCCTGGGGGGGGTCGCACTTCTTTTTCCTTCTTCCATCCCATAATATCAAAAGCCTACGGCGCGCTAGTGAAGCTGGTGGACTGACTGAAGCAGAGCAAAAGCCTTTTTTT